AGCGCACAGGTGGAGCAGAGAAGCAAAACTACTGTTCAGGGTTTCAAGTGCAGGTCAGTTTCATCTGTAAATATGCTAATGTAGTTTTTCTTTGTTTGCTTAGTTAAGCAGCAGCAGCCCATTGCTCATCAGTCATCACTCAAAATACTGTATAAAGGACATCATTATTGTATATTGTAATGTTACAGTAGTAATTTAGCAGACAAATAATCATATGTTATAATAGGTTTATAGGGCAGACAACAGACAACAACACAACCCTTACGAAAATTAACGATGATTTTACTATAAATCCAAAGACAATACTATTGTCAAAGCATTGTAACCACAAATTAACCATGGGTTTTGCTACACAAACCATAGTTTAACCATGGAATTTGTAGTAAAAATAAATACAAAGGGTAATCCATTTGCCAAAAAAAAAAACATGTCTACTGTACTTTTACTATAAAAAAAGCATGGTTAATTTTTGTAAGGGAAAAACATGACTTGTGTTCAGTATTAGGATTTTTCTTGTCTTGATGTACTAATTTTGACATGTATAGGCAATTTAGAAAGTATAGTTTTGTTAAATCTTGAGTATTAAAGTCATGAGAGAGATAGATAGTATCAGGCAAAATAAAGAGACTGAAAGGAAAAATGGAAGTGAAGGTTTCCTGTAGTTATGCAAAGATTTGGTTTCAAAAACAGTATCAGTAAACTATTTCTTATTATTTTAAATCTGCATTGAACTTCAGATCAATCTCAAAGTAAAAGGCGGTACTACAGTCTGATTTTGTAGTGGATGTGTTCAGATTTTATCATCTTAATTCAAGTGATGAAGGATTTTGAAAGTCTGACAGTGTTGAGCACTACTGTAAGGTTAACCCTGCATGGTGTAAATGTTTGAAAATGATTAACAGTTGCAAATAAACATTCGCGTGAAATTTAGAAAAGTAATCAAAAGTAATCAGTTACATTACTTTAATAAAGTAATTGAAAAAGTTACACTACTATTACATTTTAAATAGGGTAACTTGTAATCTGTAACCTATTACATTTCCAAAGTAACCTTCCCAACACTGAGCATGTGTGTGGAGGCGGCGTTAAAAGAGCGACTCAATGCAGTATGCTGGCTTGAAATTGCCATCAAATTCAAACAAGATGGGGACAAAAGTATCTTTAATGGTTTGTGCAAGGATTTCTCAGGATGTGTTAACTGGTGTTGAACCTGGGCATGCTCTTGAATGAGCAGTCTTTGATCAAATAAAACACAGAAGAAAAGTTAATAGTCAAGCTCAGAGATGAAAAATATTTTCGAACTTGTATGGCATCTTGATGACCTGCACTGAAAGTCAAGTCCTCGTTGAAACAGATGCAGATTTATTAATTAGCCGTGCTGAGGCAAATCATTTTTTATTTTTGTGCTGACGAGGCAGATATTAGCAAAACACAAAGAGCATCATGAAACACTACAGATGAAAGAAAGCATGTGAAAACAAAGAAAGCCACTCAGAACAAACATCACTGAAAAATCATCTTGAATTGTCCATCAATGATTCAAGCAGCTCTTTGGACATGCAACAATCTAAAACGGTACGTCAAAAGGCAACATTTTTCATCACAGCATATTGAAATCAAATCAATACAGCTCAAGGTTGCAAACCCTGAAGAACTGAGGTAATAATAAAAAAACTAACCAGCTTACAAAGTAGACTTCAGTGCAGCTTTGAGCAGAAAACAATAGACAATTCTCCCATGAAAACGAATAGAAAGAAGCAACATAAATGCGTCACACTTTTAAATGCAAGTCTGATCAAGTCTGATAATTAAAATTAACTAAGGCCCAACAGATTTCAGGTTACCTGTATGTCAAAATAATGCCACAGTTAAGGGGAAGTCGTGGCCTAATGGTTAGAGAGCCGGACTCGTAACCCAAAGGTTGTGGGTTCGAGTCTTGTACCGGCAGGGATTGTAGGTGGGGGGAGTGAATGTACAGCGCTCTCTCCCACCTTCAATACCACGACTGAGGTGCCCTTGAGCAAGGCACCGAACCCCCAACTGCTCCCTGGGTGCCGCAGCAAAAATGGCTGCCCACTGCTCTGGGTGTGTGTTCACGGTGTGTGTGTTCACTGCTGTGTGTGTGCACTTTGGATGGGTTAAATGCAGAGCACTAATTCTGAGTATGGGTCACCATACTTGGCCACATGTCACTTTCAGTTGCGTAATTTGAATTGTTTTATACTTTTGAGAAGGTTAAGTCCCTGGCAGGCCAAAAAAATCACCATTTTGGGGAGCATCTTTGGGGCCGTTCGCACAGAATGCGTCTTTGCATTTAAAACACGAGACGTAGTGCTCAGGAATGGTTTTTAAAAAACGTACAGAATACCTCCTCCACCATGTTGCCATCAAATAAAACAGTTGCCATGCCAACTTGCTACTGTAAACAAAAGCTGGCAACGCTTGCCCCTCCTCTAGGGTCTTCTGATTGGTCCACTGTTTTGCAACTGATATTAATGAGCGGCGCTGTATGTAAAAGTAGTTATTTCAACTTGACACAGCATCTTAAAAACATGGCGCTCATGTGCAACAGCCATACACGTCTGTCTAGCATGTGCACAGAAAAACAATGGAAAAGTAGTGCATTGGAATGGAAAACCGAGTTCCGTGTGAACGGCCCCTTATACCTTCAATGACATGTTACTTTTGGGTTAGATAATATTTTATAGTTCTCTCTCTACACAAAGTGAGATTTGTAGTTTTATTGGTTTTAAACAGGTCTTGGGACTCCAACTTGTAGCTTGTTTGTGAAAAGTGCTTTTTAACAAGAAAAACACAATGTGATTTCATAGTACGCCCAAAACTGGCAAACGAAAGCAGAAAAGCAAAATAAAAACTTGATTCTTGCAGTACGAGAATCGCTTGATGGTTCAAATGGTGCTCAAAGCTGTTTTAAAGGCATCGACACCATGTGCTGGTGTAATCGCTTTGTAAACTTTGTTTGAGAGAAAGATGAACATTGTAATTCTCAGGATTTGGAAACAACAAACTCTTCAATTGAGTTCAATTCTGTCTTTGGTTCAATCTACAGACTCTCAAAGAGCTGAAGTTTTGATGAACGTAAACTATTTAATGTTTCTTGCACCAAATATGTGAGCAAAGAGCCTGTGTTTGAAGATGAATGAAACTTTTACTGAGTTTGTAACATTGAGGCAATTCGTCATTGATTTCAGTTGTTTTTTTGTTACAAAAGTCTCCAAAACCAACAGTCTGTTGAGGCCAACAGAGTGGAGATCTCAATTCCACATCCTTTCTGTGGTTCAAAATGTCACATGACTGCTGGATAAAGCCATTAAAAAGACTCCTGGGTAACGTTGTTCATGTTGTATTTGCGGTTCCAGGGCTTTATGAAGGTCCTTCGACGTTGATGGTGGTGACTGTAGCCATGAAGCAGCGCTGGAACAGGCGGTCTGGGTCGGGCGGCTGGTTGTCACAGTCCAGTTTGCCACGCAGGAAATGTTTGCGGAAACCCTGCGGTCCCAATGCGCCGCTCGGCTGACTCGGACTGGGCCCAGATCCTGAGAAACACATGACAGGAAACATTGGACATTTTCCTGAAGAGTTTTCTGCTGCTTGCTTGTGCAAAATTCACTACAAGTCTACAAAAGACACACTGAATGCATGTATGTCCTTCAGTATTTTCAGTGTGTCCTTGTAGACTTGCCAGCAAGTTTTGCTACACATAAAAATACCATGCAATAGGGGTTGCACCGACTAATCGACTAATCGACTTCAATGCTCTGCCATGAAGCTCCAGACTTATTTGTTCATTAATGACGTCATCAGCGACTAGTCGACTTCGACTCGACTTTCATCACATAAAAGTCGACTTCAAAAAATCAGAAGTCGTTCAACCCCTAACATGCAAAGAGTGCTACGTGGGTATCTGTTAATACCTCCTGGTGATAAGGGATATTCAATTCAAGACAATTCAATTCAATTTGATTTCGGCATTATTTATAAACCCTTTATTAATATTAGCTTTTATTTTATATTTTAATTTTACATTTGTAATAATTACATGATGTGCTTTCATCATTTTTATTATTTTTTGTTTATCTTTAATATTTCTATTTAGGTTTATATTTATTTTTAGTTTAATTTCAGCAATTTTATTCTCTTTTTTACATTTCAGTTAGTTGTCAAGGCAAAATGTCTAATTTTGTGTCAGTTTTTTATATTCTATTATGGTATTTATATTATTATAAGTTATATATGTAATATATAATATTATAAGTATTTATTAATGTCTTCATTAAGTTTTTATTTTTAGTTTAAGGTTCATAATTACATTTTGTGCTTTGGTCCTTTTGAGTAGCGTTATAGCATTTCATATTTTAAATTAGCTTTTATTTTTAGTTTACATCTTAATTTTATTTTCAATAATTATGGTATGCGTCATTTTTTATTAGTTTTTGCCAAGACAAAATTTCTACATTTTGTTTCATATTTTTAATACTCTTACAGTATTTATGTTATGTAGAGTCTGGACCAATCAGACCAATCAGACACACCACCTTTCATTAGATTTAACAAATCAATTATTCATTAGATTAACAAATCGTCACAGACCCCTCACCCAATAAACATACTGGGTGCCAGGTTGTCTGCGAACGACACCAGGCCCCTGGTCACCATGGCAACCAATGCTGATATCACTGGTTTTATTGCCCAAAGGAATGTGGGTAGAGGAAATCACTACCTTTTCCATAGGAAGAGACACAATGCACAGTAAAAACGGACTCTTCTCTAATTAATTCATAGGAAAACCTTTATTTGAATGAACACACATATCCTTCAGGTCATTGTGTATGTTGTTACTGTCCTTGTATATTGTCTCTTATATTGTATACTGTTTTATGCAGGCTTATGATAGAACCACTCGTTCATGTCATCTTACCTATATGTAATCCTACCATGTTTAGTGTCTACGAATTCGTCTTCTGATGATCTGAACAAGAGTGGATATTATATGTTGGTACCTATGCAACATATTA